CACTGATTGCATCTTTTTTTTTATATAAAATAAAGACATTCGGCAAATAAYAAGAGAAATCCGCCTGAAACAAACAGATTCTCTGTAGCACCGAGTTACAACAAACCAGGAAGAATCAAACTTAGATCAACAGAAGTAAAAACAGTCACTTCAACATAAAAATACACTGAACCGTTTAAAAACAAGAAACAAACTGAACAGAACCAGGTCCATGTGGGACCATGATGCTGAGCTGAGCCTCAGGTCCCGTCAGAGTCTGAGTCCAGCTCCTTCTGGCAACACAAAGGTTTGATGTTTGAAGTGTTTCATCTGGTATTGCATCACACAACACACACACACACACACACACACACACACACACACACACACACACACACAAAAGGGTTCCATACATGATAAAAGCTCAACTGTGGCGCGATTTAACGCAGTAAATGATCCATAAAAACTCAGACAGAGGCAGATTTTTCTCGTCCTGTAAAGTGTAATGAGCCCAGCTGTGCTTCTGCAGCAGCATTTGTTTTTGACAAACAGCAGGCTGGTAAAGTCCTCATCCCTCTTGGTAATCTTCAAACATTACTGCCATCAAATCTGGAATTTTATTCGAGTTTAAACTTGATAAAAAGGCAATATTATAAACATTAATCCAGATTAAGGAAGTTAAACCGAGAAATATTTTATAACCAGCTGAAGGATAACCCTCAGAACCAATCAAACGCCCCTAAGGAGTAAGATCCAAGTAAAAGACATCATGAAGACCAAGGATCTCTTCACACAGGTCCGAGAAAAAAATTTAGAATCAGAAAATGATCCCACAGCAAACAGATGTAAAGACTGATGGACCCAAACAGCACCAATCTGAAGATGTTTAAAGAAAGAACAAAATGTCTGTTAATTAATTTGTAAATAAAAAGTTTCTGCATTTAAAGAGACAGCCTCAAAATGAGTTGATCTAAGACACGCCCCAGAAAAGGGGCGGGGCTTGTGGAGTTACTTTAAAGAAGAATTCAGACCAAAGCATTGCAGTTCCGCTTTATATAGACCCAAACTGAAGGTTTTAAATGTGGAAATGGATTTAAACAGACAGCCTCAAAACGAGTTGTTCTGAGACACACCCCAGAAA